CAGTTGTCAAGCTCTAACCAACTGAGCTACAGAGGGCCAGTTGTCGAGCTCTAACCAACTGAGCTACAGAGGTCAGTTGTCGAGCTCTAACCACAAGTTCATGATATACTAAGCCCTAAGGTGATGTAAGGTGCATGGGCAGGCTTTTAGCCAGAAAGGCATCCAGGCGTCCTGGGACGCCCTAGAACGAAAAATGGACGCCTTTGGACGCCCAAATTCTGGGGGAAAAGGGAACTTATTTTCAATGATTTTCCTAAGTATATTAATATATCTGAGACGAAATAGCTTCAATTCTCATTATTATAATTGTACATTTGACATTTTGATCACTTTGATGGTGCACCTGGCTGAATGAAAACGTCGTAGTTAAGTAAAGAAGCATTGCGGCACAAACTCACAAAGTCAAGTGTGTTTGAAAAATTTCGAACGAGCTTGGAACAAATACTGACATGAAGTAAGGTAAAGTTCAAAGGTTTTCCAGAGGAACGTTTTCTAAACCCCCTCCCCTCCCTTTACTGTAGATGTTTCGTTACACCAAAATTGGACGCCCTCTTTTAGGACCCTGGCTAAAAGCCTGTGCATGGGTAAATATTGGCCGAGCATTTGCCTGATGTCCGGCACGAATTTGCTGACCTGAGCAGTACACGCACGTGATTAATACTGTTGATACGGAAATTTCTGAAATAGAATTATTTGCATCTAAGACCCACTCGAACAAGACTTAGGATTCTTTAAAGTTTCCGGGATCCAGTGTGCGGGCACATAAACCGTTTACACTGCAACATCACGAGCAAAGATTTTCGGATAAGAGTGTTGATACAAGGGGTAACCAACAATATAAATCTATAAATACTCTTATCGGCTTAGTACGAGTAAAATATTCTCTCTTAAAAAAAATTTAAAAACTGTCAAAAAAGCTAAAGAGGGTATAAGCAAGCAGGTCGAATGATCTCGGATTGCAATATTTCCGGATACAAAGTAAATCCTGCTTGTTTTTCTGAACATAAAACGACAACATCAATCTGGTACTGCCTGGATCGCTAGCTAGGGATTGGTGATGAATTTTTGGTCCCCCCCCCCCCCCCCCAGGACTTAGAATACAAATTGGCAATCAGCAAATGCCGACTTGATTGCTTACCTATCATCATGTCAGGACGGCAAACATTTGCCCACATGCAATTATACTTTTCTGATATGATTTCAGAGGAAATGACTCTTGCCTTATAAATGTATATTACTATAATTGTTATCGACATGGGGTTATGTTTGTATGTGAATAAAAAACTAAGTTATTCAAGTCCACCTTATCACAACCCGCACACCCGATTACCTATATATACATGAACTTATGGTTACAGCTTAACAGCTGGCCTCTGTAGCTCAGTTGGTTAGAGCACTGTACCGGAATCGCAGGGCCGTAGGTTCAATTCCTACCAGAGGACCTTGTGCTGCATTTTTTGCAGTCGTTCCTGGTTAGGTTTTAAAATGTATATATTCTCACTTGGATTACAAACCCTAACATCCTAATATTATGTTTGTATGTGTGTGTGTTTGTTTGTTTGTCTGTTAGCATGATAACTTATGAACTATCACATTTATTGGTACGAAAATTTATGGGATGAGAAATTAGCAAAAAGCTTTCTTCACAACCATTTGCATCTACCAATATGTCCTAAGATATTGCATGCTTACCAAAATTGCAATATAACATCTCCAATCAAACTGTAACGGTCCCTCGGCTCTCATGAGATAAAAATGTGTGTTAAGAAAACACTCGAGATATTGTGGATGATATCCCATTAACCAATGAACATGAGTAAGACGTCCACTGGCGAGGAATGTCTCCACCAACAGGCTGTCAGTATCATCCTTGTTGCCATTCAGTGGAATTATCTGAAAGTAAATGACAGAGTATAGTGTTTAGCGGTAGGCCCCATTTGTGGTCTAAGCTGGACAGTCTGCCCTGGACAGTCTTAGCTGAACAGTCTAACCTCGACAGTCTAACTTGGACAGTCTAACTTGGCTTATAATGCTCTTGGTTGCATGGATATCACTCGAGAAACGTAGGGCGCTCTCATATGCTAAACGGTCAATAAATTAGCACCTTAAAGACTGTGTTTAAATTACAATTTAAGGGGTTCTTCGACTAGGCTTTTGATTCCCAAGCCTAGGACAGACTTCCTAAGGTTTCAGTTACAGTGTGGCTCAAATATGGAATCAGATACCGAAAGAGATAAAAAGTTCGGTTATCTTGACTTATTTTGCAAAGAGTTTTCTTCCTCGACCTTTGTTTTTAGAAATTAGTTGCCTAGGTTAAATATATTGTTTAGTTAATATGTAACGTTTTAGTTAATATATCTGACGAAAGTCAACAGGGTATTACCGCGTGCGTAGCAAAAACTCCAATGAACTATCATCAAAATTCGAACAAGCTCAAAGTTGATGAGAATCTTGTCAACTCTCATCCTGAAAATTACTTAGTCGCCCAAATTACTAGCAGCGAATAAGATCTGGTCGCCAAATTTAATCTAATATCTCCCTAAATCAACGTGTTACGAAGCATTCTCTAAATAAACAACAGTTGTGTTTATTATATGTTGCCAAATTATATGCGAAGATAGAATGAAATGCCTGATCACTACTGAGAAATATTCGGGCTTTGGAATTACTTCTCAGTCGCCAGTGAGGACTGCACTTCATAAGAATCTGCTCGCCAGATGGAAAATGTGGTCACAAGTAGTGACCTGACCTGGCACCCGCTTACTACAACCCCTGGCTGTGCAACGCCTTGATAACAAATTATATCAACACACTGTAAATTTCAAGGATCAAAACCAGTGAGAGAATATCACTTTTGCAGTTGATTCGACTTTTTCAAATTTACAGTGCGATGGGCTTTGCATTTTGGAGATAACAAGCTCGTTAATTAGGTTACGTCAATGCGTCTATATTTACTTGTGAGGCAGTTCAAGGCCAAGTTCATTGTCCTTATTTGACGACATCACTCTCGTACGCAGAGGATGCTGGCCATTCTCCTCCGTAGAGTCGTATAAATAAACACGAAAGTGAGCTATACCCGGAAGACGTAAGGCATTCAGGAAATTGGTGATATATAGCCCGTGTGTTTAACTATATATAGCTATAGCCTTCGTGCGCGGCTCTGCGGAGGACAGTGGATGCGGGCTATATACCTGCAAATTATGAAGTGACATTGTGCACGCCTGGCCCTTCGTCGAAACGTCGAGGTACTGCTTGTGTTTTTCAAGTTGTTGTATATCAATCAGTGGCGTAACGGTTGAAGAGGGGGCTCTTAGGTATATTTGGTGTGGGGGCCCCTGTTGACTGTTGTAATTGTTTCATTGAGATATGAAATTGATGTTGAATATTTATAAAATGATGTTTGTGATGTTACTCTGAGTGTATATCCACACCGGGCAAGCTTGGAAAATATGCCTGGCCACGGTGAGAATCGAACCTACGACCTTTGGAATACTAGCACAATGCTCTGCCAACTGAGCTACGCGGTCAGGTCGGTTAGTATTCCAAAGGTCGTAGATTCAATTCCCACCGTAGCCAGGCATATTTTTCAAGCTTGCCCGGTGTGGATATACACTCAGAGCAACATCACAAGCATCATATTCACCTGAGTACATTACACCAACACAAAAATCATGATTTATAGAATGTTCTAGAAAATTCCGTGTCAAAAACAATAAAACTAATAAGAAAAGCTTTTGTTTTATTTGAGATGGAATAAAAAAAATCCGCTACCGTTGTCGATGGAGGCTTTATTATTTAGCATTATTAATTTTGCATTTTCCCATCAATTCTTAACCTGCAATAGACCTTTCCCCTTATAACCAAAATTTTTATCTAGGCAAGTCTAGACAAATATTTCATCACAGCTTGAAAGAGCATCACAAAATTAGTAATATTCCAAAGTTTCGTTGCGAAATGTTGTAAAATGAGTAAAATAGAGCCTTGCGAAGTTTGCAATTTTCAGTCATTTTGCATTACAAACGGGAAATTGCAGCCCCAACACCCGAATCGGATGTCAATTTCCCGTTTGCAATACAAATTGACAGAAAAACGGCAAACTTCGCAAGGCTATATTATCCGCATTTTACAACATTTCGCAACGAAACTTCGGAATATTACTAATTTTGTGATGCTCTTTCAAGCTGTGATGAAATTTTTGTCCAGATCGAAATTTTAGTTATAAGAGGGGAAAGGTCCATTTTTACGTTTTCTAATTCTCAGGCCGGGGCTGAGGGGGCCCCTAACTGTCGGGGGTCGTTGTAGTTTTTGAACTAACCCAATGAGCGTCACGCATGAATCTGGAATGAAGTGTTCCGTAGGGAACAGGATGACCAACTGGAGGGTTTGTAAACAAAACTTTACAAGAAATGACGCACATCGCAAGATGTCGTTAAGCAAGGACAATGAACTTGACCTACAACTCATTTGACAAGTAAATCTATACAGATGTATTAACACAATTAACAGGATTGTTTACACATTCTATTTCCCCTATCCAGTTGCTTCTGAGGGGCATGCTTGCCTGATATTAGTCGTCAAAGCATGCAAGCGCCCTTCACCTTCGATTCTTCCTGGTATACCTCCCACAGAGAATCTTGTGGCATCTCACTCGAATGAATAATATTTGATGGCTATTGTAGATGGAAATTTTCGAGTGGAAATTTATATTCATTTATTACACTTAACCTCAGGTTCAATTCCTGCCAGGGGACCTAAAGTTGCATTCTTCGCTTCTGTTCATGGTTAGATCTAATAAATGTAGTATAAATTTCCACTCGACAAATTCCATCTATAATATCCATTAAATGGGTTGGTATTAGCCCCCTTCCACCTGTGACAGTGTAAACCTCTTTCAAAGACTTCAGACTGTTTTACAGTATCGAAGTTTCTTTCCAATCAAAGTGCGAGTGTGACAGTGTAAATATCTTCTTTCAAAGACTTCAGACTGTTTTACAGTATCGAAGTTTCTTTCCGATCAAAGTGTGACAGTGTAAACCTCTTTCAAAGACTTCAGACTGTTTTACAGTATCGATGTTTCTTTCCGATCAAAGTGTGACAGTGTAAATATCTTTCAGAGACTTCAGACTGTTTTACAGTATCGGAGTTTCTTTCCAATCAAAGTGCGAGTGTGAGAGTGTAAATATCTGCTTTCAAAGACTTCAGACTGTTTTACAGTATCGAAGTTTCTTTCCAATCAAAGTGCGAGTGTGAGAGTGTAAATATCTTCTTTCAAAGACTTCAGACTGTTTTACAGTATCGGAGTTTCTTTCCAATCAAAGTGTGAGTGTGAGAGTGTAAATATCTTCTTTCAAAGACTTAAGACTGTTTTACAGCATCGATGTTTCTTTCATCAAAGTGTGACAGTGTAAATATCTTTCAGAGACTTCAGACTGTTTTACAGTATCGGCGAAGTTTCTTTCCAATCAAAGTGTGAGTGTGAGAGTGTAAATATCTTCTTTCAAAGACTCAAGACTGTTTTACAGCATCGATGTTTCTTTCATCAAAGTGTGACAGTGTAAATATCTTCTTTCAAAGACTCAAGACTGTTTTACAGTATCGGCGAAGTTTCTTTCCAATCAAAGTGCGAGTGTGAGAGTGTAAATATCTTCTTTCAAAGACTTCAGACTATTTTACAGTATCGAAGTTTCTTTCCAATCAAAGTGTGAGTGTGAGAACTGGTCCTGGTTGAGTCTAAGAAATTTCCAGCTAGACAATCCTTTCAACAGTTTAAATATCCTTTGTCTTTCATCCCAAGGAATTGAAGGAAAGTGTCAACTCTTAATTCAAAAGTCTGTCTAGGAATTTTTTTGTGTAAATTTATCATCTAAGTTTTTTTTTATTCAATCAAAGCGGTGTATGACAAAGCACACGTTCAACCAGGGCTTGGGTTTATTTTTAAATTATTAGAATGGCTTTTAGTAACCTTATTATTGCAAAATCTCAAGTGTTGACATGAGATTAAATGGTTCAACTCATGCTGAGATATAAAACAGTCATATCAGCATGATCGTCTACATCTGTGAGTTAATCTGTACAATACATACTGTATTCTGTTCGAATGTACGGTGTTATTCAGATAATATTATTGTATATTTATGTATGCAAGGTTAATATCGGTACACGATGTATCATTTTCACTTTCTAACACATGTTACAGAAAGCTATATCAAGGTTATTACAAAACATTATTGATTGTTTTATTGACCTTGAATAAACTATTCATAAATATAGCTTAAATGTCGGAAGGAACTTGATATTCGATGTTTAGTTTAAATGGTCACTGCGGAAGCATGACGTCATACTATGGGCCAATCTAATGTAATACAGTTTTGATTGAAAACATCGCTTTTATAGAAAGCAAAATAATGTACTCTCTTTGAGAAATTCAATGTTAAAAATGCCGAAGTTTTAGCTAGAGTTGCAGGGCTATAAATTCGCTTGCATGAATTGTATAAAAATTGTTTGTCAGCATGGTAATACAATAAAATATAAAATTGTGGCGGCTAGTTTTCAAATCGGTCAATGGTATACCTCAGGAAAATGTTCTCAATCAGTGCAGAACTGTTTATTACTGTATAAATAGACAACTTGGATGTTAGACTAATTTTTGATCTGGACAAAAAAAGTAAATTCCCGTAAAGAACTTGTTAAAATTAGTAAAACTGCAAAATTTGGTTGCGAAATGTTTGAAAAGCTTGAAAAATATAGTCTTGCAAAGCTTGCAAATTTTGCATATGTTTGTATTACGTAATTGTTACCATTTCTGAGCCGAAAATGGTAACAATTTCCGCACGTAATACAAACATATACAAAATTTGCAAACCTTGCAAGACTATATTTTCCAAGCTTTACAACATTTCGCAACCAAATTTTGCAATTTTACTAATTTCATTATGTTCTTTTTAGCTGTGGTGTTTGATTCCCTTCTCTTTACTTAGATTAAAATTTAGTCTAACATGCAAGTTGTCCATTGGTTATCTAAATCACAGCAGGTATGTCATACAAAGTGTCCCAAAAAATGCAATAGCTAATGTTTAAGATTTTTACACAGCTAGCTATTAATAAGCATCGTTAATCTAAGACATGAATTTTGGCACTAAAATTATTAAAATATATCTTGTAAAACCAATGTTATATGGCGATTCAATTTAAGGGGTCATGAAACCTATTGATACTTTACAAAGCAGACGAATGATTTCAATGTATATAAAACCTAATCCTTATTATCAAACAGGACCAATGATATCCAACCGAAATTAATCTCTTAAACCGAAATTAATCTCTAACAGATTAAAAATATTTATAGTTGGCTTTGGAAACAATGACTACAAAATCCACAATAACATAGCAATATAACTATTTTTACATTTGCCTAAGTTCAGATGATGGTAAAATTACAGCTTTATAAACATTACAAACAAAAACTCTGCTGCAAAATTAACAAAATTTAACTGTAAATATTTATATCATAATATACCTAACCGACTATTCTCTTTTACTCAATGGCCTCGTTTTCATGTCAAATACTAACTCATGTGTTGAAAATTACTTTGTTATTGAGCCTAAGAATAGGAAGAAATAAATTTGTCCAGGAAAACATGGGAATATAATCTTTATCTGCCCCTGACATGCTAAAATAAGTTAACATGGAAACGAGCCCATTGGGTAAATGAGAATAATCGGTAAGGTCTATTGAATACAAACTACATTTTTTCTACTCTATACAAAACAGATCGTGAGGTTTTCTGTTTCAGCAACAAGCTTATCACTATCATATAGAAATAAGCACGTAAATGGCATGTGCAAATCATCCTTACTTGCAAATGAGAGCTAAGCTGAATTGGGCATCTCTGGCAAACACAACGTTCGATAGAGTGTTGCCTGACTCACATAAGTGTCATCAGGGATGAATCCAGCCAGCGTGATCTGGTAGGGGGGGGGTGTGCCCTGCCAGCTCTAGTGCCAAATTGTGTCGGTCATGTGTGCCACCCACCCATCAATTTGCTTCACTACTGCAAAGTCTTGCTTGACTACTGTATTTGAATTGTAATTGTTGTTCACAGTTCGCTTATCATCATGTTATTGCTCAAATTACTGTATCTCATTTTGTCTCTAATAATTTTTTATTTTATCATGAAAACTAGCACCCCCCTGGCCAGGGCTAGGGGGTGCAACCCCCAGTAAATCCATCCCTGAGTGTCATGCGATTGCAGCACCTCACAGCAGAAGAGCATAAATCTCACCCATTGAATTATGGTGGTTAGTTTATTTTAAAAAGCATCTGTCATATCAATTACGTCATCACAATATGCAAAATGAAGAAACAGGAGCCTTGAATAAATGAATACTATAATATATAGTGTATTATAATGCAAACACCCTAGAATTGACAGAGCTATTCGTAACAAATTTCCAGATACTTTATGCTTAGAATGTGTCAAATATAACAAAGAAAAATTCTCACAGCATATCTAGTATGCGTTGTGTCCAATCTCGCAGACAGACAGCAAACAGCGCTCTGTGATAACACTAGAACAATGGATTTAATTAACTAAATGCGAACATATCATCATCTGGAATTAATCAATGTCAACAGAGCACAAAAGCATACCAGATATTATTAGTAAAAGGTTTAAAGCTTGCATACAGCCGTAGAATTTAGTTTGAAGCAGTTAACATATATTTGATATTTTTAAAGTCGGCAGAATTGTATACAAATTGGGTCTGAAAATTCAATCTAGTAAAATCCCATCTACATTTTTATAATATTGAAGATGAAATAAAGTTATCAATAAAAACTTCTTACCATTTCAATGTATAATTATAAACTATTATGCATGCATACCCCTGTGCTGTCGTAGGTGTGTTCTGTGCTTGATTTATACAGTACAACTCAAAGCCTTAACAGAACAGATATATTGTTGGTATATAGATGTATTTATTATTAGATATATAGTTCTTACCCCCAAAAGGTCGCCATAACAGCCTGTTTGTCCAAGAGGAATTGCCAGGTACCACCTGATGATTCCTCTTGCATGAAACAAACTGTTATGGCAACCTTTCGAGGACAAAAACTATATATCTGCTCTGTCTATGTGATATCAAACACTCTTGAGCATTTTGAAAACCAAACTACACTTGTTTATTATTATATACTTTGTATATATTGTTTAACTGTATTAAAAAGTACTGATACTTTCTTGGTTACTAGTAACTCCAGACGAAGTGCCTTCGCTCAAAACGTTGGAATTCTCCTTATATTTTTCAGGTAGTTATACCCCTACCAATAAAAGCTTGTTCATTTGATTGGCACTAGTTACCTACGTCTAGCAAAGACAGTTACTGATACGTTCGCCTGGGTCAAATGTGCATGATCTTGGTTAGCTGTTCTTATAATGCTTACCCAACATTATCATGTATTCTATTTAAGTCAAAACATAGTTGAAACACTCAACATGTTAATCTAGAGCTTGAAATGTAACCCGTAGCAATGCGGGACTGCCGATTCCCATCCTCATACGACTACCCTAAGATTATGCTTTAGGATATTCATTAAATAATCAACTAGTTTAGCACCAAAACATGTTGGAAATCAATTTGTCCAGTGATAAACTAGGCACAGCAAAACTGCATGAGAATTTGCATGCCTCGAGATGCATGCATGGTTTGTTCACATATCATACAAATGTGTTTGTTACTTTCAAATATATTGTCTTCCCAAGCAGGTCACACTCCACAAACGCCTGATGTATTGTCATGTCACCTTGGGCAAAATATTACCGACCCTGTGATCACATACGTCTTTATATTACAGAGCAAATATAACTCCGGCCTTGACATGTATAACAAGTTAATTCAGTTTAATATTTCGATAGTGTATGATTTAATGCTTTTGAAATGAGTTTATATGGTTAACCAATTAAGCTGGAATTATTATTTATTTTCTTACTCGGTCTAACGCCATACAATTTTACTTGTTAACAGATATGTTTTCTTTAAACAGTGATGAAGAGTCGCGATTAACTTTTCATTCATCTGATCACTTTTAAGAAACGTATTTGAGGATTTTATTACCAAAAACATAGATTTGCCTAACTTTGATTTTTCGCTAATTCTGATGCCTGGATAACGAACCATTAATTGACACTTAGGATGCTTACTCTAAGACACAGACCATTAAAGTTAGTTAATTAAGATACTACAACACAGCACAATGTTTTCAGCATTGCAGTAATGTAAAATGCAGTAATGTAAAATGCAATGATTTCAGAAAATAATATAATGCCTTGCATTGCTATTGGCAAAAGCCAACGAAAAACTGCTCAACAACTCAAATGCGCGAGAACATATGCACAAAGTATGGACTAGCCCAGCTCCACCCATATTAGGAGGAAAAAAATCGCCAGGCAATATTGTTTGTAGATCACGGCAGGACGTATCACTCAAGCTGCATGGGGCGACAGTGAGCAATTTTTACCCATTTATATCAACCCATATTTATAACAAATATATTTTGCAGTTTTATTTTAATTTGTGGTTGACCACAAATCAAGAACATTTCCCGGGATCTGGCCACATCATCAACTAATATATAAACCACCAGTGATATTTTTGATAAAGATCACACACAAATATCTGAAAATAAGGATTAAAATTTCATATGCTCAAATTGCAGATAATTTTTAAAACGAAAACAGCGATACGCTTTAGAATATAATTAAAACTGAATATATTCTACATTGTGTTTGCTGAAGGTAATATTGAAATAGTGTAAAATATATGAGCTATATATTATTCAAATTTTTTTTCCCCTCATATATATATATATACATATAGATATATATTTCTGAGTAGAAGCGGTTGTCAGCCTGATATTGTCGCAGATAAATTTGCACCCAAAATGAAACTTCTCATTTCTGAAAAACCAAAAACTTTCCGGGAATTTATGGGTTTTCCCAGCGCACACGTTTGGCAATAAACTACACTCAGGAATTCAATGCCCGTCTTATATAACACAATGCACAAGCCGAATTTTTTTGCTTCAATGCTTTTAAGAGCCTCTATTTCCAAACCACAACAAATATATTATTTCTGCCGTTATAGAAATGCTTTTCTAGAATTTTACTACAAGTTAAAGCATTGAAATTGTGAACAAATTCGCGCTTTCTTCATTATTGGCGGACAGCTGCTAGAAATTTGTCAGTCGGTGGCAGGCACAAGAATAATCAAAAAGTTATTAATAATTTCATATTTTAAGACAGTTTTTCTCTAATTTTATAAGTTTCATACCTCTTTTGAAGGGATAAAAGACGAAGGGCCAAGATAGACTCTTCTAGGCACTTTCTCACCGCTTGCCTATAAAAAACGAAGTATAATTCCTTTACAGAAATGTCAATTTTGACACAAGAGCCTTCTCGAGTTGTTACTTCAATCGCAAATTGAGATGAAATTTTTAACTTCAAATGACCTTTAAGTCTTGTAAAAGCTTTGCACATTCTTTGCGAACATCTTCAAAAGGACATACACTTGCCAAACGCAGTACAACGGGAAGATGCCCTTTCAAAACATCGCTCTGTCGATCGCTCGCTAGCTCCTTCGCTCTGTGGCAGACCAAATTTAGGTAGTATTTTCGGCGCGGTAAATCCCTTGAATGCACGTCAAGGATGGCCGAATGTAGCGAATCTCGTTCCTTGATATATTCTTTACGTCCCTGGTTCATTATTTTGACGGAAAACGACGTCGTTTGTTCACAATACACGACTAGATATCATTTCAACTACAACTCTCGAAGCGCCATTGTCCACAGGAAATTCATCTTCAAAATTTCTATATGCCGAAAAAATGTTATTAAATTTCAGCCAATCAGAGACGATCACCTCCGCAGTTCGACCAATCAGAGGCCGATAATGGTGGTGTCATGGCACACACCCCCAAAATTACCAAATATGGCGGAGGAAACCCTCTTGCATCAGACAAAATATCGACGTAGGAACACAAAAATTGACCCAAAAACACTTCAAAAATGATAAATATTGGGGATTTAAGAATCGTAGAAGAAAAACAAACATGAGCGGCGTCGAATTTAGTGTTAATTCGGTCGGAAAATACCACATATTTCGCAATATATACGACCACGCGTTGTTTCTGCTAGGCAAAACCCTCGTACGAGATTGCATCATCACAAAAAGGTCAAAAGGTCTCATGTGTTTTGATGCACGTACGCGCGTGCAAATAATCTGGGCTATAATTATCTCAATTCACACACACGCAAAAACTCGCATCTTGTAGCAAGTCTGCCAACGAGTTGTGTTCGCACTGCTTGTCCCAAGTTGTCAACAAGTATGGAACAATAAGTTCTTTTTTAAGTATGGAACAAGCTGTTAATTAGCAACTTGTAACAACCTTGTTATCATATTCACCCGAGTACACAACACCAACACAGAAAAAAACCTTGTTATTATCAGACTTGTTGCAAGGTTGTTCCAACAAGTCCGATACATTAATTATATAATTCAATTCACTTTCAAACAGGATTTTTCAAGAGGTTTACTTTATTTTTAACAACGTTTCGGACAGTTTTACTGTTACAAAGTTGTAATAACCTGAAGACGGACAGTCCGAAACGTTGTTAAAAATAAAGTAAACCTCTTGAAAAATCCTGTTTGAAAGTGAATTGAATTATATAATTAATGATGACCAAAGGTGAAAGTTTTAGAAGAATAATTAAGTCCGATACAGTCATGATATAACAATATTGTTACAACCTTGTCTCGTCAACCTTGTAACATTCTTCTTATATCACGATTGTATCGGACTTGTTAGAACAACCTTGTAAAAAGTCTGATAATGCCATCAAGCTTGTTGGGAGATGTTACTGAGCTTGTTCCAAACTTGTTACAACAACTGGGAACAAGCAGTGCGAACACAACTTGTTGACAGCTTGTGAACAGATTTGTAACAACTTGTGCGTTTTTACTAAATGGGCGCAAATTATTAAAATCTCACAGCTTGTCAACAAGAGTGTTCGCACCGCTTGTTCCCAGTTGTTGACAAGTCTGGAACAAGTTGTTATCATCTTGTAACAAGGTTGACGAGGCCAACAGACTCGCAACAAGTTGTTCCAACAAGTCTGATATCGTCTGCACGTAACAAGTTGTTAACAAGTTGATGACAACAAGCTCGTGGCAACTTGTTACGAACAGCCTGTATTAGTCTTGTTGGAACAACTTGTAGCAAGTCTGTTACCGTCATCAACCTTGCAACAAGGTGATAACAACTTGTTCCAGACTTGTCACAACAACTGGGAACAAGCAGTACGAACATATCCTGATATCGTCTTGACAACAACCTTGTTACAATTTGTTTGCAGATCTGTGACAACTACACACGTAAAAACGCACAAGTTGTTACAGGTCTGCAAACAAGTTGTCACAAATCTGTTCACGAGCTGTCGACAAGTTGTGTTCGCACTGCTTGTTCCCAGTTGTTATAACAAGTTTGGAACAAGCTGTTGACAACGTGTAACAAGCTTGTTGATATTATCAGACTTGTTACAATGTTTTTCTAACAAGTCTGATACAGTCATGATATAACAAGAATGTTACAAGGTTGACGACACAAGGTTGTAACAATATTGTTATATCATGACTGTATCGGACTTATTGGAACTTCCTTACAACAAGTCTGATAATATCAACAAGGTTGTTACAAGTTGCTAACGGCTTGTTCCAAACTTGTTGACAACTTGGAACAAGCAGTGCGAACACAACTTGTTGACGGCTAATTGCTGGCAAACGTGTTACAAGATACGAGATTTTTACCTGTGTATATAGCTTCAGTTTTTACGTGACCGAAAAACAGCTTGCACGTATTCTCTTTGATGTAGCTTTATTTGATAAAATGCTAGAACAATGGCATGACCATACGTATAAAGTGGACAACGTGGAACAATTAAAGGCAATTATGCGGCCAAATCACCAAAATAATTTTCTAAAGCCTTGTGAGGGGTCCCGACACTATTGTTAAAACACACGCCCAGCGCCAGCCTTTCAGATTTTAAACTGATTTGTAGTCTATATATATATAATTCCTAATAAAAAGGATGACCATATCTTGGAATTTAATTACGTGATTTAATAACGCCCAAAAAGAATGGCCCTATAGCCAAAATCACGTACTTTCTGCTGTATTGCCTTACATACAAACGAGTACGGTTCCACGACAAGCTTTATTATTTGTTGGTGTGTATGGCAAAAATTAACAATCTTTTCCTTTGACAAGGAGCTTTATTCAAAAGCTTGTCATTGCCAACTTTTGAGGAAGGAAATTCTTGCTTTGCAAAGACGGCATGCCGACCATATATATTGAACGCACTTTTTGTGTCGAGTACCCAATCCTAACCCCACATCAAGTTTGATACCTTAAACGTTGAAGCCTGGCATCCATATGGTCGTAATTAAAAACGCACAAGTTGTTCCAGGTCTGCAAACAAGTTGTTACAAATCTGTTCACAAGCTGTCGACAAGTTGTGTTCGCACTGCTTGTTCCCAGTTGTTGTAACAAGTTTGGAACAAGCTGTTTAACAACTTGTAACAAGCTTGATGGCATTATCAGACTTGTTACAAGGTTGTTCTAACAAGTCTGATACAGTCATGATATAACAAGAATGTTACAAGGTTGATGACACAAGGTTGTAACAATATTGTTATGTCATGACTGTATCGGACTTGTTGGAACAACCTTGCAACAAATCTGATATATTAATATCAACAAGGTTGTTACAAGTTGCTTAACGGCTTGTTCCATACTTGTTGACAACTTGGAACAAGCAGTGCGAACACAACTTGTTGACGGCTTGTTTGCAAATTTGCTACAAGATACGAGATTTTTACGTGTATATATAGCTTGTTTGTTTTTACGTGACCTACAAACAGCCTGAACGTGCAAGAATGATCATTTATCGCACAAATAAAACACCCAAAACAATACACGATACTCTCTTTGTCTTTGATATAGTTTTGATAAAATGCTAGAACAATGGCATGATCATACTTATAAAGTGGACAACGTGCAAACAATTAAAGGCAATTATGTATAACTAAATCCCCAAAATAATTTTCTGAAGCCTTGCGAGGGTTCCAGACACTATTATTAAAACACCCGCCCTGCCTCTCAGATTTTAAGCTGATTTGTAATGTAGTCTATATAAATAAAAATAAAAACTTTCACGACATTTTTTTATCGTTTACAAGTAAGAAATGAGAATTTTGAAAAACTTCAAGGCAGGATGATCATGCGCTTCACTTACGGAAACGTTCATGTCGTTGGAATTATTATTATTATTATAAGTACGTGATTCAATAACGCCCAAGAAGAATATTTATGGCCCTATAGCCAAAATCACGTACTTTCTGCTGTATTGCCTTACCTACAAACGAGCACGGTTTCCACGACAAGCTTTATTTGTTGGCATGTATGGCAAAAATTAACAATCTTTTCCTTTGACAAGGAGCTTTGTTCAAAACCTTGTCATTGCCAACTTTTGAGGAAGGAAATTCTTGCCGTTTGCATTTGCGTCATCCCGGCCATATCTGAACGCACTTTTTTGTGTCGAGTACCCGATCTTAAACCCACACCAAGTTTGATACAATGATACCTTTTAAAACGTTAAAGCCTGGCATCCAATATGGTCGTAACTTAACGGTCGTAAAGATTGAGTCACGATCTTTCTCATCAGCCGAAATACAACATTTTAGAACTGAAAATACGCGGAGTGATTATAACTAGAGAATACATTACTTATGATTTATATGTGGTTTACAGGTATAAACTATTATAAACTGACCGTTGAGAAAGACCATTACGACCAAAAGGCAAATGGTAACCAGGTTTTACAAAAATTATGGTCTCCCGGGCACAGCTTTTCCTAATGCTAGTAATGCTAATTCTAGATCTGTATAGCAATTGTAACATATACATCTGCTAGTAGTCGCCAGCATAGGTCGCCAGCCTGTACTGTTTGTTTGTATGTGCGCAATGCAATGAATCAGCTCATCAATGCCAAAAACTAATGAGTTGTATTTATATCCATCATTTTTTATGGCTCTGGGTGCGAGATTAGCATTTACACTTGCCAAGTAAAAACGCCTCGCGTTAGCAAGTAAAATTGTCTGGCATTAGACAAAGTTATATAACAAAGAATGGCGCGTTGTCGCTTAATCCATTGAACGCCAGCTCTTTCCCCTCGACGAGTAAAACCTTATAGGGCGCATAATTGGTTCAATTTTCTCAACTCTCGTTCGAATAAATATAGCGCCGGGGCCCGGGGCAATAAAAAAGTGAAGTAAAAATGACATTGCTTTTTAATTCTAACTATTAATAATATTACTACAATTATACAGTGCATATCTAGATTACATAAATACTACAAATTGAAATATATAAATAAATGCATGCATTAAAAAACACTATCTATGAATTGTATATAATCAGGAAAAGGCTAGCTATTTAAGCGACTTGGTGTATTCTAAATTATAGGGGCAATGGTATAAGCGTTTGAAAATTAACTAGTTTGTGAAATGCTTGTCAGGAGAAAGTATAGAGCGTTTGCACTCATTCCCCAGGGACCAACTCAACAAAAGCCATGGCGGCCATGTTGGTGGTGTTCTAGACAAGAGTCTAAATAAAATTCTCTTGAATTGGAAGACCAACATGGTGGCTGTGACGTCATGTGTAAACGCTCTATCGCCATATGGTTGATGTTTATATGAAGTCAACATTAATTCGTTCCTTTTCTAAGCAACGAAATGAAATTGAAGTGGTTCTCCTCGAAAAAATATGCTTAATAAAACACAAATTTTGACGTGTCAAAAAGATAACTAAATAATTTGGACAAAAGGAGTGAATTGTTTCATATGGCATGCAGCTTCAAAATTGATAGTGACAACAGATAAATTTGGCTATTATACCCAATTTAAAACTTTAAATAACTCACATGTCTAGCTATCATTGTATACAGAAGTATAAAATAGAACAAAGAAAACTATAAGCTTTTGAATTAGTGAATAACTCTCATATACAGGGTTAATAAAAAAAATGTACACCCTTTCAGCTTTCAAATTCAAATTACCATAACCTTTTAAATATTCGTTGCTCTGCAGTAAGCTGGCCCATTTTATATCTTATGCAGACTAGTGAATAATGCTTAATTTAAACATTTTTCTTTGAGTTGTGTATTTGTTCATACAAATGGAAGTTTTCCTAAATTCCCATATGCAGAAGACCTTGTGTTTTCACGCATTCATTAATTCGAGAACTTATACGGCTGTCAAATTACTACAATAGGTTACGGTTAATTTGAATTTGAAAGGGCGTACATATTTTTTTATACACCCTGTACATAACTGTATTGCTTGGTTACTTTTGTTCTATTCTATGATTGTGTAAACTAGACAATAGCAACAAAGCATGCGAGTTATTTAAAGTTGTAAAATGGGTGGCAACAATGTAAACATCACTAGCCACCAAATTTCTCTATTTGCAGAGATTGAATACAAAAGGATACTCTATTCAATTCGAGTTCTCGGATCAGTGGATTTTCCAGAAAAGAAGGTCATGACATCATTCAAACGTGGGCTGTTTATATGCGTCAGATTTGCCGCCACATTTTTGCCAGTGATATTCAAACTCTCGTTTCGTAATCTCGGCTCCGCGCTTCCTGCTAAGACCTGTTTCATCCATACTCAATTCACACATATCGAGGTCATCGGTGCCCGCAACTAGGACGACGTTTACTCCGTTCGGGTGCATCTCAAGTTGGCGGGCTATCCACTGACCATCAAAATGAGCGAACCAATAACCACGCTTCTTGAAGTCGTTGTCGCGATACTCGTCACCAGGCTTCACGAAAGGTACGCGGAAATATCGCTGAGGTCGCCGCGGCGGGAGTCTGGTGACTGGTTTCGTGGCGTTGGCTTGACTGGAAGCTGAAAAAGAAATTCAATTTTTTCTAGAGATAAACCTTTATAGCGACAACAGTTTAGAACTGATAGTTTAGCTTCCTCCTGTAGTAACACTGGATCAATAAGAGATGATCCTTACTGGACCTCCAGGAAGAACAGTTTTGAACTGATAGAACTATCCAGTATATAAATAAAGTTAGTTTAGTCTAGGTTTCCTCTTGTAGTAACACTGGATGAATAAGAGATGATCCTTCCTGGACCTCTAAGGAGAACAGTTTAGAACTGATAGAGCTATCCAGTATAAGTGAAGTTAGTTTAGTTTAGGTTTCTTCCTGTAGCAACACTGGATCAATAAGAGATGATCCTTACTGGACCTCCAGGAAAAACAGTTTAGAACTGATAGAGCTATCCAGTATAAACAATGTTAGTTTAGTAATAAAAAAAGTCTTTGCTAACCTTCCTCCACAACTTCCTGAGGGGCTCTTTGTTCACCAACGTCCTGAGCAGAAGATTTCGAAGCTTTATTTTTATTCTTCCAATGATGATAAACCTTGAGACGTCGATGGAATTCTTGTTTACACGCTTCTAGCAGCTCCACATCTAAGAAACGGTATATTACTGTCGTTTAGAATTTAATATTGATGGACGTTCGGTATACATTCAAATGCTTCCGGTATGTTGTCGTGGTTTGTGTTTTAAATACTTGAAAGGTGTCTTGTTTGGCATCGCCGTTGATCCGATTCCCGCTAGAGGGACCACAGAAAAAATCTCACAGCTTGTGAACAAGATGTGTTCGCACTGCTTGTTCCCAGTTGTTGACAAGTCTGGAACAAGTTGTTATCATCTTGTGACAAGGTTGATGAGGCCAACAGACTCGCAACAAGTTGTCCCAACAAGTCTCATATCAATAAGTTCTTTGAATGTTTGCATGGCGATAAAATGTAATTGTTTCTGTTTGTGGAAACACCACGTAAATTTTGCAGTAATAAATTTACGTGGTGTTTCCACAAACAAAAACAATTAAGTCTGATATCGTCTGCACGTAACAAGTTGTTACCAAGTTGATGACAACAAGCTCGTAGCAACTTGTTACGAACAGCCTGTATTAGTCTTGTTGGAACAACTTGTAGCAAGTCTGTTACCGTCATCAACCTTGTAACAAGGTGATAACAACTTGTTCCAGACTTGTCACAACAACTGGGAACAAGCAGTGCGAACACATCCTGATATCGGTTTGACAACAACCTTGTTACAACTTTGTTTGCAGATCTGTGACATCCTTGCGTGTTTTTACACGTGTGTAGTTCAGACACAAACCACGGCAACGCATTGATCATGCTGATTTTCCATTCCGTTGCGCCGTTGGCAAGTTATTCTCGACAATACATACCACATGAAGTATTAATGGTGTCTCTCAACTCGGCGTACTTCCATTTACTTAAATCATATTTCTTATTTGGATCTTTCACTGAGGCCGCTCTGTGGAAAAAAGAAACAAAATTGTCTAGCAATCGTTCTTACCCTCAGAATTGCTACAACTATCCAGTATAAATAAAGTTAGTTTAGTTTAGGTTTCCTCCTGTAGTAACACTGGATCAATAAGAGAAGATCCTTACTGGACCTCTAGCAAGAACAGTTTAGAAGTGATAGAGCTATCCAGCATAATTAAAGTTAGTTTAGCTTTCCTCCTGTAGTAACACTGGATCAATAAGAGATGACTCTTACTGGACCTCTAGGAAGAACAGTTTAGAACTGATAGAGCTATCCAGTATAAATAAAGTTAGTTAGATATTATGTATTTACCTGATAATTGCTTTCTGTTCTTCCATAGGTTCCACATTCGAGTTGGATTCCTACAGAGACAAAGGACATTTTAAAAAGAAAGACAATTATTTACTATCTCAAGCAGATCGGTGCAAAAGTCGAGAATTTACGACTGATCTCGTAGTGGGATTTACAAAAACATGGACCTACCTTGGCTAAACGCAAGGCGAGCTCGTGATCTAATCTGTCCTGTTCCAGAGCTGCTTGCCTACAACGATTAAAAAGTTTAAAAAAATCCACTCAACTTATAAAAATCAACTAAACAATAAATACCCACCCCATGAACAAAAACTTTATAAAAGTATACCATTCAGTTGTGACACATGTCATTTACCACTTCTGGACATGACTTTTATAACTGCTTGTGCAATTTTCTAGTGCAGTCTAAAGTTTCATGTTGTCTGCACATGTACTTTCTTTGGAGACACCATTTGCCTCCTGACAAATCGGAAAATGATCAAGATAGTGACTCGGATTGATTTACATATTGTATTGACATATGACTGTTGACATTGCTTTTTAATCTTCAATATTTGAGTGAGTCATACTTTGGAAAGACAATACTTAAATATATTAATAATACAATACTCAAAATTTTGTTTACCCAACCCTTTTCTTTTCGTTGCCCCCCCCCGCCATAAATGACCACTCCTTTAAAAGTAGTTAAGAGTAAAGAGAATGTAATTTAAAAGTCAGGAAATTTGGCCCCGACAACACAATTAAAAATCACAACATACCTAGATTGTTCGGCCTCTTGCTCTTTTCGTAACTGCTCCTCAATTTCTTTCTAAAAAAATGAAAACTTGATATTAAATTGATGAATGATTAATTTAATTGCTGAAATCATGAAGAATACGTTACGAAGTAGTTATAAGTCCTGTCACGGCAACCAACGAGCTTTGGCTATTCGCGAGTAAAAATCGCACAGCAGCTTGTCAACAAGATGTGTTCGCACTGCTTGTTCCCAGTTGTTGACAAGTCTGGAACAAGTTGTTATCATCTTGTAACAAGGTTGATGAGGCCAACAGACTCGCAACAAGTTGTTCCAACAAGTCTGATATCCTCTGCACGTAACAAGTTGTTAAGAAGTTGATGACAACAAGCTCGTAGCAACTTGTTACGAACAGTCTGTATTAGTCTTGTTGGAACAACTTGTAGCAAGTCTGTTACCGTCATCAACCTTCTTCCCAGTTGTTGTGACAAGCGTGGAACAAGTTGTTATCACCTTGTTACAAAGTTGATGACGCTAATACACATGCTACAAGTTGTTGTAACAAGTATACCTATACACGTAAAAACGCACAAGTTGTTACAAATCTGTTCGCAAGCTGTCGAAAAGTTGTGTTCGCACTGCTTGTTCCCAGTTGTTGTGACAAGTCTGGAACAAACTGTTAACAACTTGTAACAAGCTTGATCGCATTATCAGACTTGTTACAAGGTTGTTCTGACAAGTCTGATGCAGTCATGATAAAACAAGAATGTTACAAGGTTGACGACACAAGCTGTTAGCAACTTGTAACAAGTTTCATGGGATTATCAGAGTTGTTACAAGGTTTTTGTAACAAATAGAATACAGTCATGATATAAAAAGAATGTTACAAGGTTGATCACACAAGGTTGTTACAATATTGTTATATTATGACTGCATCGGACTTGTTGGAACAACCTTGCAACAAGTCTGATCTAGTAATATCAACAAGGTAGTTACAAGTTGTTCAACATAGCTTGTTCCAAACTTGTTGACAACTTGGGACAAGCAGTGCGAACACAACTTGTTGACGGCTTGTTGGCAGACTTGCTACAAGATCTGCCCGATCTAATAATTGTAACGGGAGAGTGCCTCGCATGGGTCCTAGAGTCTTGCCGCTTGAACATTGTTCAACAAAGTTGTTAAAACAAAAACAAAATAAATTAAAAACAAACATAAAATTATTAAATAATATTTTCAAACCTGTTTAGCTTTCTCGAGTTCTCTTCGTTTCCTTTCTTCCTCCTCGGCTTTCTTTCTCTCCGCCTCCATCTCAGCTTTACTGAATAAAACATACCAGCAAAATATTAACACTACACACGTAAAAACACGCACAAGTTGTTACAAGTCTGCAAACAAGTTGTTACAAATCTTTTCACAAGCTGTCGACAAGTTGTGTTCGCACTGCTTGTCCCAAGTTGTCAACAAGTTTGAAACAAGCTGTTAACAATTTATAACAACCTTGTTGATATTATCAGGCTTGTTGCAAGGTTGTTCCAACAAGTCCGATACAGTCATGATATAACAATATTGTTACAACCTTGTGTTGTCAACCTTGTAACATTCTTGTTATATCATGACTGTATCAGACTTGTTAGAACAACCTTGTAACAAGTCTGATAATGCCATCAAGCTTGTTACAAGTTGTTAACAGCTTGTTCCAAACTTGTTACAACAACTTGGGAACAAGCAGTGCGAACACAACTTGTCGACAGCTTGTGAACAGATTTGCAACAACTTGTTTGCAGACCTGTAACAACTTGCGCGTTTTTACGTGTCGGACTTGTTGGAACAACCTTGCAACAAGTCTGATAATATCAACAAGATTGTTACAACTGTTAACAAGTTGTTCCAAACTTGTTGACAACTTGGGATAAGCAGTCACAACTTTTTAGGGGCTTGTTGACAGACTTCCTACATATGTGAGATTTTTTTGCGTCTACGGGAAGATATGAGAACTCGTTGATGCGAGTTGAGAAGCGAGAGTTTCCATGAGAGTTTCCATGAGAGTTTCCATGCCCAAGTTAAACGAGAACATGAGTTGCATAACAGTTGATGAGACTTAATTGGACATTATTGAGTGAGTAACGAAAACTCTTATGAACCTTCCTCAAAATTTAAACGAGCTCAAAGTTAATGAGAGCTCAAAAAAGCGAACGAGAATTGCAACTCTGATCATCGTATGAAAGGAGGTTAAGTCTAAACGATTAAACAGGCATATAATAAAATATTTTCAAACTTACATCCTCGCTTCTTCTTCCAGGTGTTTCCTCCTTCGTTCCTCTTCTTCTCTTTTCTTTCGTTCCAGTTCCATCTGTTCCTGGATCTTTCTCAACTTCTCCTCCTCCTCTCGTTTCTTCTGAAGCTCTTTCTGCTTTTGTAAATCCGCGAGCTGTCTGTCCACCTTAGCCACCAGACCTCTGTGTAGGCTCTCGATCTGATCACGTGTCATAATCGTGCTCTACATAATCAATAACCAAGAACACTAGTAAACATCCCACAGATTGTCAACAAGATGTGTTCACACTGCTTGTTCCCAGTTGTTGACAAGTCTGGAACAAGATGATAACCCGAGATCTTACCTTAATTTTCTGTATGGCTGTCGCTATTTCTTTCTCGATTCCTGCAATCTGTTTACTGAGTACATTCTTGTCTGTTTTCAAACCAGAAACTGCAACAGAATGAAAATGTATTAAAGCAAGTCACATACAATATGAAATAGCTCTATCAGTTCTGAACTGTTCTTCCCAGAGATCCACTACGGATCATCTCTTATTGACCCAGTGTTACTACAGGAGGAAACCTAAACTAAACTAACTTTATTTATACTGGATAGTTCTATCAGTTCTAAACTGTTCTTCCTTGAGGTCCAATAAAGATAATCTCTTATTGGTCCAGTGTTACTACAGGAGGAAACCTAAACTAAACTAACTTTATTTATACTGGATATCTCTATCAGTTCTAAACTGTTCTCCCTAGAGGTCCAGTAAGGATCATCTCTTATTGATCCAGTGTTACTACAGGAGGAAACCTAAACTAAACTAACTTTATTTATACTGGATAGCTCTATCAGTTCTAAACTGTTCTTCCTAGAGTTACAGTAAGAATCATCTCTTATTGATCCAGTGTTACTACAGGAGGAAACCTAAACTAAACTAACTTTATTTATACTGGATAGCTCTATCAGTTCTAAACTGTTCTTCCTAGAGATCCAGTAAGGATTATCTCTTATTGATCCAGTGTTACTACAGGAGGAAACCTAAACTAAACTAACTTTATTTATACTGGATAGCTCTATCAGTTCTAAACTGTTCTTCCTAGAGATCCAGTAAGAATCATCTCTTATTGATCCAGTGTTACTACAGGAGGAAACCTAAACTAAACTAACTTTATTTATACTGGATAGCTCTATCAGTTCTAAACTGTTCTCCTTAGAGATCCAGTAAGGATCATCTCTTATTGATCCAGTGTTACTACAGGAGGAAACCTAAACTAAACTAACTTTATTTATACTGGATAGCCCTATCAGTTCTAAACTGTTCTCCCTAGAGATCCAGTAAGGATCATCTCTTATTGATCCAGTGTTACTACAGGAGGAAACCTAAACTAAACTAACTTTATTTATACTGGATAGCTCTATCAGTTCTAAACTGTTCTCCCTAGAGATATACTAATAGCTTTCCCTTATTGGTCAGGTGTTATAGCCAGAGAAAAATCTGATGCCCTATTGACTCAGTCGATAAAGAAGTATAAGCTTCTTGTGGAAGCTTTAGCACTGCAATTTTGACAGCCTTGGACATTGCTATGCCAGTAGGCCTGTCAAAAAGGTGGGGCACGCCCTACCCAGCAGAACGTCTTACCAATACTGTTCATTGTTCCCAGCCGAGTATGGAGTCTTTTGATTCTGGTGATACCTTGATACCTAAAGAGAAACACAAGTCATAAATAATACTGATAATAATCACAGGCAGTGACCTCTGTATCTATCTGGACAAGAACTTCAGTCATTCGGCCTATACTAAAAAGGAAGATGGCGGAATTGACGTCCCGATAACTATGGATATTGTGAACAGTTTTAATACCATTTTACCAAAATTTGATCAAGTTACGAGTACATAAGCATACTTGCAGAAACACTGAAGGCCTGAAAATGAGGACCATTTTTTAGGCTCGTGTTGTCGTCCCAGATATCTATTGATCTTATTGGCCAAACAGTAACCCATGTGGCTTTGTGCTGTAAGCCATTGTTCCACGTTACTATATCAATGTCTTGTAATACGAAGTTGAAAGTAAGATTTCCAATCCTGCACAATTTCATATTCAGTGGCATCTTTATTTTTTTGGAATAAAATTCTATAGAATGCCAGCAATAATATATTCAGCCAGCCAGCCAGCCAGCCAGACAGCCAGCCAGCCAGATTCTGTTCCGAAATATCACATACTCGAACCGACCAGACCGCGTAGCTCAGTTGGCAGAGCATTGGGCTAGCATTCCAAAGGTCGTAGGTTTGATTCCCACCGTGGTCAGGCATATTTTTCAAGATTGCCCGGTTTGGATATACACTCAGAGTAACATCACAAACATCATATTAATACTCCTGAGTACATTGCACCAATACAGAAAAAATCAGGTATACTGTTATTGTGGCGGTAAAAAACCGAAAACGTTTCATAGAAAATTTGCTATATACACACGGCAATTGGGAAATAAAACTTGCCATTTAAAAACTTGTAATAGAGAACTTACTGATCTGTAACCAGCTTCATGGCAAAAATGATTTGAGGAATATATCATGAAAGTTATCGCTGAAATTTCGTGTTATATTTTGCTTTTCACATTTTATAATTACTCAAGGGATTTTTGACATTTTAAAGTCATTTTTGATAGGCGTTGCACTTGCTTATTATGGCAATGTAAGCGAACAATTTCTATTTTGACAAATTACAAACTACTCGTATATTAAAATATTTTTTTCTTACACTTACCGAACCAGTAAAAACGTTTATATAATAACTACAGTGAAACACGCAATTTGATTGGTCAATAGCCGTGCAGGATCGGGCTATCCTGCACGAGGAATTAAAATGCCTCGCGGGATTTTCGCGCGATTCCCAAAATGTCATTGTTTCACTGTAGTTATTTATAAAACAATTACCAAATGGTTTTCCAAGCAGGATAGCGTGATTCATGCACTTGGGATGTTGCTCGACTTTAGGAAAGCGTAAAAATACATGCACTCGCCTGCGCCTCGAGTTTTTACGCTTTCCAAAAGTCTCGCGACATCCCACGTGCATGGATCACGCAATCTTGCACGGAAAACTTTATTAATACAATACAATAGTACAATACAATAAAGATTTATTCACAATGAAACTGAAGCATGCAATTACAGTGACAGAGGAAAAGGAAAGCTTGAGGTTATCCCTATATTAAACTTCCTTAAATAAAATAATTGTTAAAAATTACTAATTAAAATTACAATTACAAATATATGAATAAATTAGATCTTTAAATAGTCCTTCAGGGCTTTTTTGAACGCTGGAAAGTTATTAGCCTCTAAAACGTATTTTGGCAAAGCGTTCCACAAGCCGATAGTCCTTACAAAAAAGGAGTATTTGTAACAGTTCACTCTACTTGCCTTAACACATAGTTTATTTGCGTGATTAAAGTCAACTTGTTATCTCACTAGATGAATTCAATATTTTTATACACTGAAACAACGAATAATTTCCAACAATCAATATGGTTATATTCTATTGTATCTCAAACTACTTCTGGTTATACCAATTCTACTTTTAATCGTTCATTATAAATGAAGTATGATTAAAGTCAACTTGTTGCAGTGGTGTAACTTTACTTTTTTGACCACTTGCCCTCAGGGCAAGTTGGACATGAAAATTAGTTGCCCTGAATAATATTCACTTGCCATCAGACAATAGCCATTGGGGGTACCCAGGTAGGAGGTATAAATTAAGGGGATAACATGTCTACCCGTTCTCCCACTTGCTCTATATGACTATGTTATACCCTGCCTCAGATGTAGCTTTTGCCCACACAAAAAAATTGAATCAAGTACATGCACTATAAAAAATTTATCCGACAATGTAAACATAAACTTAAAGATGCCCAGCATTTTGTAGCAAGGCAAGTTGCCCAATCGGGCAAGCAAGATAAACGTTTACTTGCACGTCATGATATTCACTTGCCCCGGACAAGCGGGCAAGTGTTAAGTTACACCTCTGCTTGTTGTCTGAAGGAAATGAGTTCAACATTCTAACATTGTTCACACAACAACAGCAGTGTGCCAGCATCTTTCTTGACACATTTCTGGAAGTTCTTGCCAAGTATAACTTTCAAAGTTGAAAGCTTCAACTAACTTTACTGCACCATGCCCACTCGAACCTCCCAGTACTACAATGTTGTTTTCAATAACAACTGCAGTACACCCAAACCTCTTACATCTCATTGGTGGCAGCAAGTGACTTTGTTCAGTCTTGACATTGTAAATGATAACTGTATCTAATGCTTTGCCATGTTTGTCAACGCCGCCTATAACAACAATGTTGTCTCCCCATCTCACAGTTGCCATATCACTCACTTCATACAGCAGTGGTGCCAACTGTTTATATTCATTCTTCTTTATATCATACAGTACCACACTACTGAGGTTGTCTCGGTATCTGTCAGTTCTTATTCCACCAACGATCAACAAGTTATCATCAAATAATTGCGTGCTGTGATCCCGTCTTGGTTCTGGCATTCTTGATAAGGTCTTCACAGTATACGGAGGAACCAGCTGGACTTCATGAATACAGTCAGATACTGCATTTCCATTATAACCACCTGTGACTATCAAGTGATCCTTATACAGCACACTGCTGTGGCATGCCAACTTAGCAGGTAGTTTAACAGGACACTCACTCCAGTGCATTGAGAGATCAGGGTTTGGGTTGATATTCATTCTAATCATATCATCAACACAGCCAGAACAGTAACCTCCAGCAATTGTCACATGATTGTTGTAAACAAAAGAAGTCGCTCCATAACACTTCTTTGGCAAGGATTGTAATGGCGACCATGTTCTTTGACGCCAGTTAAACATCTCTACAGAGTCAGTTCCATCACCTCCAGCAACAATTATATTTTCCTTATCACCACTTGCTGTATTTCTTACTTTTCTTGTGTTTTCTTCTATCTTGTCCTCCATCTTGACAAGAACATCCTTCATTTCATCAAAACCTTCAATCAAAGCTGTTTTCAATCCTCTCACTTCATTATTTACTGCTTCGAGTTTTCCTTCCATATCTGTTTTGATATCTGCCGCATTTGTCGCCATATTTTTCTGCAAAATGGTCATATTCTTCTCGACATTCGCCATTCTTTCCTCCATATCTGCCAACGTTTTTGTCGTTTCTCCGCACGAGTGGCACTTCAACTTGCGAAATTCACATAGTTCACTGTGATGGTGAATAAGATCACGCTGGTTTAAAGTTGCACCACAGCCTTGGTTTGTACAAACGGCTGGTGTAAATCCACATGTAGCCTCATGGTTGTCAAGATGTTCCAATTGTAGGATCTCTTGACAACCTCTGTTGATGTAAATGCAATGAATGTTTAATTCATTTAAAATATCTTTAACCATTCTGTTGGGTTCGGCCAAAGTCTCTACAGTCAGTTCGTCCGCACACGTAGGGCATCTTCGAGAATTCTCGAGGTGTTTCGTAATACAAGCACGACAGAAACAATGTTGGTTTCTCGGACACAGAACGGGCTCTCTTAAAACGTTGAAGCAAATCAAACAGAGGAAATTTCGATTAACTGTGGTCGCAAATCTCTCCTCATCATAACCTTGTATGTACGACGCCATATTTCACGCCATTCTTGTTTCGCAATAACAAAGCAAGTTCTGTGTTGATATTAGTCGCTCTGTGGTATAAACCTCGCTATATACACTGAATATAGATACAGTGTTCGTTCTTGGAGAAAGTCTGTGTTAGTATTTGCTTGAAATCTTTAACAAAATGATCTGTTTAGAGCAGCAGATAAATATCGCTTCCACCTAAAGTGTTTAATAATTTAAAAGCGTCTTTACTAGACGGGAATTTGCTGGCATGAAATAAAATATTTGATATCTTGTGACCAAAGGTCATCACCTGATATTAATACTGGCTTGCAATTGGTTACATTATGTTGATAAGAATTTCGTGTTTCAAAATATGGAAATTAGTTCCCAGAAAATGATCTTCTACAGTATACCAAGAAAAATGAATCTTGATAATATATGTAGACTGAGCAAATGTTATTTTAATAGATCGATGTGGATAAAGTCTGTATTACAATTTGCTTCAAATCATTCACAAAATCATGTGTTTAGGAGCAGCAAACTAATATCGCTTCCATAAAATATTTCAAGCGTCTCTCGCGACGGGTGGTCCATATCCTCATATTAATACTGGCTTGCAATTGGTCACATTATGTTGACAAGAATGTCTTGTTTCAAAATATGGAAATGAGTTCCACGAAAATGATTTTAATACGAAGAAACGATAGTTTGAAACAATACACGTAATGTCAATGACAGACAACTTCAGTTTAGTCAGTTTTTGAAGAATCTTTGCGTTTACAGTACTTGTGTTTCTTTCAAATATTTGTTATACTTTATCATTTCGTCCATATACTCAATAGTTAATTAAATTAACTGATCTAAAATATAAGATCAATAAAGGCTAGGAATATGCTGAAGCCTAGAAAGACATTCAATTAAGACCTCTAGCAGGGACTAGAAGACTTCAAATTACTATAGCTGTGTTCAGAGAGCTGTGTTCAACTTGTCTACTTTCGAAGCCTTCATGCAAAATTGTAATTTTCACTGCAGAGACTACCTCTAGTTCATATTACAAGGTTACCTAAAATGTGGTAAATGCTGTCTTTTTAGCACAAACTCAAGTGTCGAGGTCAAGAAAGATAGAAGATAGAACATACTGTGTATGTTGATGCCTCTTATTTAATTGTAAAATTTCATTTACTGCATGTCGTACGAATTGTTTGCGCTCTCCTCATTTCTGCATCCAACATAATCCAGTTTTACTATCAAGCCAATATGTTATTCTGCTTATGTCTAATTGCAATTCTAAAGCGCTCTTAATCGTGTGCGTCAGTCTAGCTAACAAAGTGGCGGATATTAATTCTAACCCTAGGTGGTATAGTTCACCTTTTAAGTGGAGCGCAACTCTAGATTTACTCGCTATCAATCGTGCATATACTCCATTTTGCGTTCGACATAAAATATAGACAGCAGCTGAATAAGCTTTATTGCTAGCATCCGCAAAGCCATGCAATTGATAATTCTAACACTGGCGATACGATGTCTATAGTGGATGAAATATTCGTGATAATACACTACGTACATTCCGTTTAGTAATCCTCCCTGCTGCGCTAATTATATGCTCTTCAAATCAAATTTGATCTTATCACGCCGCTCTCAAAACAGACTTGCTACAAGTCGACTCGTATCAAGTTCGCATTTTTCCATTCACCCCGCACGTTCTCACTCGTTTCACGCCTTACAATAATTAAATACGAGACAAGTTACAATGCGTTACGGCGAGAGTCCACTTGTAGCAAGTTTATCTCTTTATAAACTCTCATCATTTGTTTTATATTTATATATGACTACGCTGCTTGTATTGAATGCAGGAACATATAAAACAAAACAACGTTGTTCCAATATTATTATTAATCAATTAGTGATATATACGAAACACAAATAAAACTAGCCATTTGAAAACCTGTAATAGAGAACTTACTCGTCTGTAACAGGCCTTATGGTGAAAATGATTTGAGGAATATATCAAGAAAGTTATCGCTGAAATTTCACATTGTATTTTGCTTTTGATTTTTTAATAATTACATAAAAGATTTTTGACATTTTAAAGTCATTTTTGATAGGCGCTGCGTTTGCTTAATTATTAAGGCAATGTAAGCGAACAATTTCCATTTTTAAAAATTCCAGTTTGGCTCGTATATTAAAATATGTAACTGTCACTGAAACAACAAATGATTTTCAATGACACAAAATAATCATATATAATATGGTTATATTTAACAATCTATTGTATCTCAAACTACTTCTGGTACCTAATTCTACTTTTAATCGTTCATTATAAATGCAATATGATTAAAGTCAACTTGTTGTCTTAAAGAAATCAGTTCAACATTCTTACATTGTTCACACAACAACAGCAGTGTGTGACGATCTTGTTTCTGACATTTCTGGAAGTTCTTGCCAAGAATAACTTCCAAAGTTGAAAGTTTCAACTGACTTTTGTGCAAAAAACCCACTCGCCCCTCCCAGTACTACAACGTTGTTTCCAATAACAACTGCAGTACATAACCGTCTCTTACATCTCATTGACGGCAGCAAGTGACTTTGTTCAGTCTTGACATTGTAAATGATAACTGTATCTAATGTCTTGTCACGTTTGTCTTCCCCGCCTATAACAACGATGTTGTCTCCCCATCTTACAGTTGCCATCTTACCCACTTCATACGGTAGTGGTGCCAACTGTTTACATTCATTCTTCTTTATATCATACAGTACGACACTGCTGAGGTTGTCTTGGTGTCTGTCAGTTGTACTTCCACCAACGATCAACAAGTTATCATCAAATAATTGCGTGCTGTGATCCCGTCTTGGTTCTGGCATTCTTGATAAGGTCTTCACAGTATACGGAGGAACCAGCTGGACTTCATGAATACAGTCAGATACTGCATTTCCACTATAACCACCAGTGACTATCAAGTGATCATTATACAGCACACTGCTGTGGTCTGCCAACTTAGCAGGTAGTTTAACAGGACAGTTACTCCAGTGCACTGAGAGATCAGGGTTTGGGTTGATATTCATTCTAATCATATCATCGACCTGGCCAGAACAGTAACCTCCAGCAATTGTCACATGATTGTTGTAAACAAACGAAGTCGCTGCATAACGCTTCTTTGGCAAGGATTGTAATGGCGACCATGTTTTTTGACGCCAGTTAAACATCTCTACAGAGTCAGTTCCAAAACCTCCAACAACAATTATATTTTGCTTATCACCACTTGCTGTATTTCTTACTTTTCTTGTATTTTCTTCTATCTTGTCCTCCATCTTGACAAGAACATCCTTCATTTCATCAAAACATTCAACCAAAGCTGTTTTCAATCCTCTCACCTCATTATTTACTGCTTTGAGTTTTTCATCCATATCTGTTTTGATATCTGCCGCATTTGTCGCCATATTCCTTTCCACATTCTCCGCATTTGTCGCGATACTCGTCTGCATATTCTTCATCAGGGTTTCCATGGTAACCACAGCTCCCATATTCGTCGCCATATTCTTCTCGACATTCGCGATTCTTTTCTCCATATCTGCCAAAGTTTTTGCCATTTCTCCGCACGAGTGACACTTCAACTTGCGAAATTCACATAGTTCACTTTGATGGTGAATAAGATCACGCTGGTTTAAAGTTGCACCACAGCCTTGGTTTGTACAAACGGCTGGTGTAAATCCACATGTAACCTCATGGTTGTCAAGATGTTGTAATTGTAGAATCTCTTGACAACCTCTGTCGATGTAAATGCAATGAATGTTTAATTCATTTAACATATCTTTTACCATTCTGTTGGGTTCGGCCAAAGTCTCTACGGTCAGTTCGTCCGCACACGTAGGGCATCTTCGAGAATTCTCGAGGTGTTTCGTAATACAAGAACGGCAGAAACAATGTTGGTTTCTCGGACACAGGACGGGCTCTCTTAAAACGTTGAAGCAAATCAAACAGAGGAAATTTCGATTGACTGTGGTCGCAAATCTCTCCTCATCATAACCTTGTATGTACGACGCCATATTTCACGCCATTCTTGTTTCGTAATAACAAAGCAAGTTCTGTGTTGATGTTAGTCGCTCTGTAGTATAAACCTCGCTATATAGACTGAATATAGATACAGTGTTCGTTCTTCGAGAAAATCTGTGTTAATATTTGCTTGAAATCTTTAACAAAATGATCTGTTTAGAGCAGCAGATAAATATCGCTTCCGCATAAAGTGTTAAAGCGTCTTTACTAGACAGGAATTTGCTGGCATGAAATAAAATATTGAATATCTTGTGACCAAAAGGTCATCTCCTGATATTAATACTGGCTTGCAATTGGCTACATTATGTTGACAAGAATTTCGTGTTTCAAAATATGGAAATTAGTTCCCAGAAAATGATCTTTTTTACCAAGAAAAATCGATCTTAATAATGTATATAGACTGAGCTAATGTTATTTTGATCGATGTGGATAAAGTCTGTATTACAATTTGCTTCAAATCATTCACAAAATTATGTCTTTAGAGCAACAGACCAATATCGCTTCCGTGCAAGTATTTCAAGCGTCTTTTGCAGACTGGTATTTGTTTATACAAGATAGAATATTCAATGTACCGCGATGGGTGGTCATCACCTCATATTAATACTGGCTTACAATTGGTCACATTATGTTCACAAGATTGTCTTGTTTCAAAATATGGAAATGAGTTCCACAAAAATGATTTTAATACCAAGAAACGATAGTTTGAAACTGACAATACACGTAATGTCAATGACAGACAACTTCAGTTTAGTCAGTTTTTGAAGAATGTTTGCGTTTATAGTACTTGTGTTTCTTTCAAATATTTGTTATACTTTATCATTTCGTCCATATATT